CCCCAAAACCCCAAAACCCCAAAACCCCAAAACCCCAAAACCCCAATCTGCTACTTAAATGTTGATACTGATTAATTCAATAATAAATTAAATGAGATATACAAAATTAATATGCCTGCTTTTGTGTATGCTTCTTGTAAGTAATGCACTTCGTATAAAGACTGCAAACAGAAATCTTTCTCGGATGCAGACATCTACTCGTGGAAGTAGACTGCAAAGTGCCTTACATGGGGGAATCCAATCCCGCTTGCAACAGGATGGTAAGTTATGGTTTATTTTTTATTTCTATTTTTGGTGTGGATTATATTCTATGTCTCTTACACCTATACTAACTCAATTCAATCAAAGCTGATATTACTATCGGACACCCTGAATTAATCTCCAAATTTATTCTAATTAATAGGCAACTACCCCTAGGGTAAGATGATTACGGAGGATGGCTTGGCTTACAATTTTTATTTTGGCATCCAATATCTTTGAGTATATGGACGAGCTTAGTCCATAAAGAAAGTTTTATGTAATCAATACATTTACTTGTATCTCTGTATAATTTGCTACCCTCTTCATATCTGTTGTCTTGCAAGAGAAAAGTTGGAATTCTCTCTTTTTGGTAAAACTTTTTGGTGCATCATTAATATTGTTCTTTAAGTATAAAGTTCTAACATTCCATATAGACGCTGTAGTGGTTGAAGCTGACGAAGATGATCTTACAGCCAACATCTTCGCTGATGAAGATGAACCAACTGAACAAGAAGATATTGTCCAGAGTGATATCGAAGCCCATCAAGAAGAAGAAACTGAAGCTCTTGAAGCTGAAGATAATTCTGAATCTGCAGATGATATTCAAGACAGTGCTGCTGAGACTGATGCTCAAGTAGAAGATGCTGATAGCGAAGCTCAGGAAGCTCTTGAGTTAGCTGAGAATTCTGGAGATGATGATGCTATTGATGCTGCTAATCAAGCTCAAGAAGATGTTGCTGCAGCTGAAGATGCACAAGCAAATGCTGAAGAATTAGCTGAGATTGCATCTGAGACTGGAGATCCAGATGATTTGCAGGCCGCTCAGGACGCACAAGATGATGCAGAGGAAGCTGCTGCTACTGCAGCTGAATCTGCTGAGGAAGCTCAAGAACAAGCAGAAGGGGCTGCTGATGAAGTAGCTGAAGGAGATGCTGACGAAGCCCAAGTCGAAGCTGAAGAAGAACAAGAAGAGAACACAGAAGAAGCTTCTGAAGATGTAAGTGAGGCTCAAGAAGACCTTGATGAGACTGAAGCTGAAGCTAATGATGCTCAAGAGCAAGCTGATGCTGCTGCCGAAGAAACTGGCAATGCTGAAGAATCAGTAGAAGAAGACCAAGAAGCTTTAGAAGAAGCTCAGGAACAACTAACAGAAGCACAACAAGAAGGAGACGAAGGAGCTGCTCAGGAGGCTGAAGATGCTGTTGAAGAAGCCCAGGATGATTTGGATGAATCAACTGATGAACTCGCTGATGCTCAAGAAGATGAAGCTGAAGCTCAGGAAGAGGTAGATGATGCTCAGGAAGAAGTCGCTGAAGAGGAAGCTGAAGTAGAAGTGGCTGAAGATACTTTGGAAGCTGTTGAGGATGGAGAAGCTCCAGAAGAAGCAGCAGCTGATGCGGAGGAAGAAGTTGCTGCTGAGGAAGCTGCCACTCCAGCCGAAGAAGCTGCACCAGCTGAAGAGGAAGCTCCGGCTGAAGAAGCAACTCCAGAAGAAGAGGCTGAGGAAGCAGAAGACCAAGCTGAAGCTGAAGAAGAGGTTGAGGAAGAAGTTGAAGATGCTGAGGCCGAGGTAGAAGAAACTGAAGTTGAAGCCGATCAAGCTGAAGAGGAAGTTGATGCTGCCGAAGAAATCACAGATGATGCAGAGGCTGAAGTCCAAGAAGATCAAGAGGCTGTTGACAGTGCTGAAGTAGAACTTGAAGAAGCCACTGCCGAAGGAGATGAAGCAGCTATTGAGGATGCCCAAGAAGCTGTTGATGAAGCAAATGAGGAATTAGAGGAGACTAGTGATGATCTTGAACAAGCTGAAGATGCTGAAGCTGAAGCACAAGATGGTCTTGATGAAGCAGAAGCAGAGGTTGCAACAGAAGAAGCTGACTTAGAGGTTGAGGAAGCAACAGAGGATGCTATTGAAGAAGGAGTTGATCCAGAAGTAGCTGAAGAAGAAGCTGAGGAAGAGGTAGCTGAGGAGATTGCTGAAGAGGAAGCTGCTCCAGCCGAAGAAGAAGCCGCTCCAGCCGAAGAAGAAGCCGCTCCAGCCGAAGAAGAAGCCGCTCCAGCCGAAGAAGAAGCCGCTCCAGCCGAAGAAGAAGCCGCTCCAGCCGAAGAAGAAGCCGCTCCAGTCGAAGAAGAAGCTGCTCCTGCAGATGAAGAAGCTGCTTCTGCAGATGAAGAAGTTGCTCCAATTGACGAAGAAGCCGCTCCAGCCGAAGAAGCCGCTCCAGCCGAAGAAGAAGCAGCTCCAGCTGAAGAAGAAGCTGCTCCTGCAGATGAAGAAGCTGCTCCTACAGATGAAGAAGCCGCTCCAGCTGACGAAGAAGCAGCTCCAGCCGAAGAAGAAGCAGCTCCAGCTGATGAAGAAGCAGCTCCTGCTGACGAAGAAGCTGCTCCAGCTGACGAAGAAGCAGCCCCAGCTGACGAAGAAGCAGCTCCAGCAGATGAAGAAGCTCCTCCTGCAGACGAAGAAACCGCTCCAACTGAAGAAGCCCTTGCAGATGATGGAATTGAAGAAGTTGAAGGTGGTGAAGAACCAGTTGAGTCCACAGAAGAAGCTGCCGAAGATGCCATTGACGAGGCTGAGGAAGCTGAAGAGGAGGTTGCAGAAGCTGAAGAGGAAGTAGCTGAAACTGAAGACGCTGTCGATGCTGCTGAAGAAGCAACTGATAGTGCTGAAGAAGAAGTTGCAGAAGACCAGGCTGAAGTTGCTGATGCCCAAGAAGAACTAGATGAGGCAACTGCTGAAGGTGATGAAGCAGCCATTGATGAAGCTCAGGATGCTGTTGATGAAGCTACAGAAGAACTCGATGATTCCAATGCAGAACTTGCAGATGCTCAAACTGAAGAAGCAGACTCTCAGGCTGATCTTAACGCAGCTGATACTGCAGCTGAGGATGATCAGGTTGCTGCAGAAGTTGCCGAAGAAGGAGCTGATGCAGTAGAAGATGAGACTGAAGAAGCAGTCGAAGAGGAAGAGGCTACTGAGGAAGCAGCTCCAGAAGAAGAGGCTGCAGAAGAAACAGATGATGTTGTAGAAGAAGCTGCTGAAGAAGCTGAAGCAGAAGAAGATGTTGAAGAAGCTGAGGCAGATGTTGCTGAAGCTGAGGCTGATGCTGCTGAGGCAGAAGATGCCGTTGATGCTGCCGAAGAGACTGCTGATAACGCTGAAGTTGAAGTTACTGAAGATGAAGCAGCAGTTGAAGAAGCTGAAGAAGTTCTTGAGGAAGCAACAGCAGAAGGAGATGAAGAATCTATCGAAGAAGCCCAAGATGCTGTTGATGCTGCCACTGAAGAACTTGAAGATTCCAGCGATGAACTTGCCGATGCTCAAGAAGAGGAAGCTGAGGCTCAAGATGCTGTCGATGAAGCTGAGACTGAAATTGATGAAGAACAAGCTGATCTTGAAGTTGAAGAAGTAACTGAAGATGCTATTGAAGATGGTGTCGATCCAGAAGAGGCAGAGGAACAAGCAGAAGAGGAAGTTTCTGATGAGTCAGCTGAAGAAGAAATGACTGATGATGGAGTCGAAGAGGTTGAAGCCGAAGAACCAGCTGCAGAAGAAGCTCCCGTTGAAGATGATAGTGCAGAAGAAGCTACTCCAGAAGATGGGACTGAGGAGATTCAAGGAGAGGAAGTTGTGAAAGAAGCTGCAGAAGAGGAAACTGCGCCAGAAGAAGAGACTGAGGAAGTCGCAGATGATGTTGCACCAGAAGAAGAGGTAGCTGAAGAATCAACAGAGGAAGTAGCAGAGGATGTTGAACCAGTTGAAGAAGCTCCAGTCGAGGATGCCCCAGCCGAGGATGCCCCAGCCGAGGATGCCCCAGCCGAGGATGCCCCAGTCGAGGATGCCCCAGTCGAAGATGCCCCAGTCGAAGATGCCCCAGTCGAAGATGCTCCAGTCGAAGATGCTCCAGTCGAAGATGCTCCAGCCGAAGATGCTCCAGCTGAAGATGCCCCAGCTGAAGATGCCCCAGCTGAAGATGCCCCAGCTGAAGATACACCAGTCGAAGATGCACCAGCTGAGGAAGAGCCAATTGAGGAGGCTTCAGCTGAGGAAGTTCCAGTTGAAGAAGCACCAGCTGAAGATGCACCAGCTGAAGAAGCACCAACCGAGGATGAACCAACTGAGGAAGAATCCACCGAAGAAGAATCTTCTGATGAAGCACCCGTTGATAATGCATCATCAGAAACCGAAGAGGGTGAAACAGATAATGAGACAGAAATTGATATTCCTGTTGGAGCTACTCCATTTGTTACTCTAGCAGAATTTGATGATCTTAATACTCAAATAGAAGGAATGACATCACGCGTTGATTCTATTGAAGATGAAATCTCAAGCGTTGACTTTGCTACTGGAGCTACCACTCTTGCAACAATCGAAGGATTACAGTAAGTTTAGAATATATTAACTCCCTTTAGACAAGAATTAGACGATGTTAGCGATGAAGTTGATGATACTACTGAACAAATTACAGATGTTGCTGCTGAACAAGATGCTATTGATGCCACTCAAGCAGAAGTTGAAGCAGCACAAGCTGAAATCGAGCAAACTCAAGAACAGGTTGAGCAAGAAGAAGATGATATTGCTGAAACTCAAGACGAAGTTGAGGCAGCTGAAGAAGAAATCGATGAAGCACAAGATGTCGTTGAAGACGACTTAGCTGAGGTCGAAGCTACCGCTGAAGAAGTTGAGGAAGAAGCAGCTGAAGTTGAAGATTCTGTTGATGAAGCTGTTGATTCCGCAGAAGAGGCTAGTGAATCTGTAGAAGAAGCTGAAGAGGTAGCAGAAGAAACCGAAGGAGAAATTGATGAGGCAGTTGATGAAGCTGAAGATACAGTTGAAGAAGAAGCAGAGGAGGCTTCTGAGGAAGTTGATGAAGAAGCTCAAGAATCAGTAGATGAAGCTGAAGAGGCTTCCGAAGAAGCTGCTGAAGAGGCCACTGAGGAGGTAGCTGGTGATGCTGCTGTTGATGAGAGTGTAGAAGAAATTCCAATTGAAGACTTATCTCCAACAGATGCTGCAGGAAATCCAACACTTGATCTTGACACCTTACAGAATAATTTGGTAGAGCTACAACAACAAGAAGCTGAACTCCAAGCCCAAATCTCCGAGCTCTCTGCAGAGCCAACTGCTGAAGAAATTCCAGTATCCGCATAAATTCATTAAATTTGGAAAAAGTCCAAACAAAACCTGACTAATTTTAATAAAACAATATTTTAACCTTGCCTCGGGGTTTTGGGGTTTTGGGGTTTTGGGGTTTTGGGGTTTTGGGGTTTTGGGG